TCTGTTTTTTTTCTCCATAAATAAAAAAGAAAAAAAATAATTGATTGAAATTACAAGCATTATACCACATGCAATTCATACTGACATAATTTTAAAAATATGAATACCACATATGAAACATATAAAGAGCACAAGGTGCATCATTTAGTGTGTCCTTTTCAACAATATACAGTCACTATCAATGAAGTATAATAATTACAGGAGCAAATGGTGCTTCTTTCTCTGCATACAGAGAAAAAATTCTTGTACAAGATCAGGGATATAGCTGAGCAGCACATTGCTTACCTGGCAATGTGGCATTGTGAGTTTGATTCCCAGTTTTAAACAAATTGCATGTACATATGAATGCCCTACTTCAGAGATTAATTTGTGTTTTTAAGAAGCAGCCCCTTTGCAAGTTGTCCTTTATTGTATTATTTCACCTTCTATTATTTAAATCCCTATCATAACATCGAACTTTTCTCACTATAAGGTATAGATCCTAATGTATTCAACAGTTTATTCATTTATTGTATGATTCTAGATGTAAGACTGTAGTTTACACATGCCTGGAAGGCTCCTAGTAATTATTTTCATCATAGCCATAGTAATATGTATTTTAAAATTTATTGATGTTAAACTTTAAAAAAAATTCTCACGTGATTTTTTAAACATCCTAGAAGGACTTAGAATTCTGAGGGTGTGTTCATTGATTCTGGAATTCAAATTCATTACAATGAAACTCAATGTGGAGGATACTATTTGTCTGCTTGAGGCCTCATATTAAACTCTCATTGTATTTATCATAGTTAGATGTCCCTAGCATTTCCTATGACTTGGTTAAAATATCCAACAGTGTCACTACAATGTATTCAAGACTTATGAAAGCTAAACCTAGCTGGAGAGCAGAAAGAAGGCTGTGTGCAGTGCCCACCCTCACTTCAGGCCCTGTAAGAAGATAAGGATTCAGCATGTAAATTTTCTGTAATAGACCTTTCCATGCCAAGAGATGAATGCTAATCTCTTGTGACTTACTAATTTTTTCAAAGTAAATACTCAACTTGCATGTCTGATGCCTAGAATTCTACTGTCACATTCTGAGTGTTTAAAGGCATTGAGGTTACTAGGAAAGACATGTAAGCGTGTGGCTTCATGTTGCAAGGAAACATGACCCACAAGATTACATCTGGTGCATGAACGTGGCTCTCAGGCTCTCTCTCATGCCTGAAGAATCTCCACTGGAAGGTTGAAGATTGATTCTGAGAGAATGAGCAACCTGAAGCCAATATCATAAGGCAATGAAATACCTATGCCCATGCACAAAAAAGTAAGACACTTGTTTTCCCTTATTATTCAAACCAGGTCATATTGGTTGTTGTCAAGCACAGAAAAAGGAGTCATTTGCCATGTGCTATAAATCAGTAATTCACAAAGAAGTGCAGAACATTAAAATGGACTGGGACATTCATACTATCATGACACACACCACCCTTCACAGATATTCTTTATACATAGTAATTATTTCTGATTCTCTTAAATCTTTGCAGGAGATAAAGAAACATTTTTTCAGTAAAGCCCTATAACCACTGGAATTCCTTCTTCAGAAAGAAAAGATTCACAAAATTATCTGGGTAAGTGAGGCTCCTGTTCTACAGGAGACAATTTGAAGACTGGAAGGAATAACGCAAAAGAGATATTTGAGTTTCATAATTAAAATGACTTGATCAAACTAAAACTAAGGGACAACAAAATGAATTGAATATGCACAAAAAACAAATCTGTTATTGCAAACACTATCATTAAGCATTAGATTTTTTTCAACCTCCTGAATACAAATGCTTTAATATGTATTTCAGATGTAACAGAAAGAGAAATTCATAATACAACACTAAATGACATGTAGCTCACTGAATGCAGCACACTGTGAATCACTGTTTGTTCACCCATGGTGTCCTTTTTCAGAGACCAGAGACTCATCTCTGTATCCTCCAACATGAGCATATAAACTTCACATTGAGCCATGTATCGCTAGTATAAACTATGTGTCAACTTAAATATTCAATATAAGTTTACACTCAAACATTTTCTCTGCATTATCCAAGGGCCCCATGGACTTTAGAAAAGATAATTTGAGATGGGCATAAACTTTCAATATGCATCTCATATTGAAAAAGTTCAGTAATCCAGGGTGGCCTCGATTTTTAAGCACTCCTAACTTTCTGAGGAGGCTGGAATTAAATTTGTGCATCACCATGACTCAGTGTTGTTTATTTTACCCCAACAGTGAATTCTTGGTGAAATTGGGTGACATGAAAAAAAAAAAAAAAACCACAGATCCAGGCTTGGCACTGCATGCCTGAGTCCGTAGCATTACAATGGATGATGTATGAGGCTCTGAGCAGTAAGGACCATGTGAACTAAAGAAGGAGACCTAATTCCCTCCAGCAAAGCAGAGGCATAACCATCACCATCAAAGCAGAATATTTCTGTCATCCCCTCACTGGCAGTTGAGCTAGTTAGAAATATTACATCCATCAGAAATGGCTAGGCTCTGGAAGGGCCCCCACAGAGGATGAGATATCTAGTGACTATGAAAGAGACACACACACCACATGCTGTGCACCAGATCTCAAGATAGATGACAATGAAATACAATCACACCCTTAAGTATAATTCTTAGGGGTTAGGGATGGATCACCTTGAGAAGACAGGAGTTGCCATTCTAACCACCTACAGAAAAAGAGACTGATCCATAAATAATGCTAGCTTGCTATGTGATTCAATTCCCCATTTGTCTCTGATATAGTCAATTTTACCTGAGGAGGGAAACTGATTTTTTGACCTTAGCTCTTTCCCACCTCATGCCTGCCTGTCTTGTGAGTTATTGATCTGCCTTTAGACTTCCCTCATCTCATTGTTTTACATTATAAAAATTCCTAGAAAATGCAGAGTCTTTGGCAACTCACATGGGACCCCTTCTGTCTCTCTCACAGAAGCATTCTTTCACTCAATAAATACTTCTTCTCTTAACCTTGATTGTACCTAAAATTCATTCTTAAATTTAAAAGAACATGAATTTCTGCTGGACATATAAGGGCAGACAATTTCATTCCCATATATCAAACTCAGAGGTCAAAGTGCTGGCAAAGACACACCTCTTCTTCTGACCATGTGCAAAGTAGTGGGACCTCATCTCTAAATGCCAAAAAACTTTTATTAATTAAATCTTTTTTCAAAATTTACAGGATGTCAATAAGGGCCAGATTTCTAAGGTCAGTCATTGGACAAGAAGAAACAATAAAAGTATCTTAAAATTTTTGATGTCCAAAAGAAACTCCTTCCCATGTTATTTTAGTTGTGATGCCCAACATATATCAAAACCTTCAATACTAGGGTTCTAAGTACCTATCTTACCTCATACATGATTAGCAGAGCTGATCAGTACACATAGAAAAAGTTTTTATCCATGACTAAGTTTCCCTCCTTTCTATAGGCCTGTGAGCTTTTTCCTACTCTCAGACCTACCACGCAGACAATCCTCCAGTGCTGTCACAGTAGGTCAAGCTCACCTCAGAAGTCCTTTACTAAGCTGGCTGCTGATTGGGCCTCCCTCCTCATGCCCCTGCTCTCTCATTTCCTTTTCATCATGTCGGCACATGTTATTAAAACTTTTGTCCTTAATTCTTTAGTACTCATGAATATCCTGACCATGTGAAGATACCTCTACTTCAGTACAACAGTCCATCTCATCGTTCAAATTTCTTTTTGAGACAAGGACTCATGATGTAATTCAGGATGTCATGTCCTGTAACTCACTTCATCCCCCAGGCTTGTCTTAAACTTGCAAGGATCCTCCTGTATCAGCCTTCTGAGTGCTAGGATTAAAGCCATGTGCCACCACACCCCACTCACTGCTTCAAATTTCAGGTCAAACTAAAGCACAACCCAAATGTAACAAATTTTTGCAGTTATGAAACCTACTTCCATTTCCACTTTCATGTTATCAGATCTCTACATCCCTGTAGACACCAGTTTGCTGTTTTTCTCAGTGTGGGATTAGCACACAGCACCTACAGCAAGTTGTTCTCAGCAAGAAATTTCCACTTAGAAACTAATTCATCACCATCCCCAAATACCTCACAACATTCTAAACTTTAAGAAAACCCTCGCTTCAGTAATTCAATTGTAAAAAAGTATTTATCTACTTAGCTTATAAATAAGGCACTCACTAAGGAAATGGCCTGAGGTAAAGTTGCAAAAGTAGTGGCTGGGATAAGAATTAAAATCAGAACAGACCATGAACTAGGACTTTGAACTTCACAATAAATTGCAGATTCTAGTCTACTAGAGTGAATTGCAGGTGCTAATTACTAAACTCTTGAGGTAACAGAAATGTAAACACAAACATCCAGTTTATCTCTAAAACCTGTTTCCTATAGACCCCACAGGCTGAACAAAATGGTTGGACAACCTCAGCTCAAAGTATTTCTTTTTCTGGGTGCAGTGACTCTGGACTGTAATATCCCCACACTGGAGACAGATGGAAGAGGATATCCTGGATCTCATGGGCTGGCCAGACTACAGAGATACACTCTGTATCCCAACAATAATAATAAAACGTAAAAGAAAAAAGAAAGGAAACAAAGATGTAGATCTATTTTAAATCCATAGAGCCAGGTGTACCCTCATGGCTATCCATGTACGAAAGATTCCCAAAGTCAAGCAGCTTTCTCATTTTTATTTTGGTTCCATAACTCATAACACACAGTGCCATGAGTTTATGAGTTCTGTTCATTCCATAACATCACTTCGAGTAGAAGTCTCACATAAGGAATTCAAATGATAGTGTTTTCTCATTTTGAGGCCAGAATACATGTTTGTCTCCAAAGAACTGCACTCCTTAAACACAGCTGTGCCTGAGGCTGTGCAAAAGACACTCTGGGTATACAGGGGTTCTGCCCAATACCATCCAGACTGGCCAAAATTCCATCCCATTCCCAGCTGCAATACCATCAAGTTACCATTGTTATGCTTGAGGATTTCCAAGGATCCTTTCCAGTCTTCAGTAAGAAGAAGTCGCAGAAATTTGACATGAGCTCAGCTCCAGGCACTCAGCACTGAACTCCCAGTGAGCACTTCTACAAGAGGGATGGGAAGACCCTCCTCCCCTGGCCCACCTGATTGGCCCTCCTACCTTCACCCACCTTTATCAATAATTGGCTCCTGGGCCCATCTCTCTTCTATGATGTCACCCTCACCTGCCAGGATTCATAGTTTACTCTTGGCTTTTCAGTGCTGTCCTTGGTTTCCTTAAAGGTTTAGTGCCCTCTCTTGAAGCTGGGTCCCAAATATAACCAGGTGAATGTCCTGTGGAAGAACCAATCCCTTGAGGACAGAAAAGTTTATTTGTCAAGCTCAGGCTGGGACAACTTGGCACAGGTAGGGGCTGCTGTCAGGAATAAGGCCATAAGCTTTATTGCCCAGAAGTTCACAGGGTCTCTCTCAGTCTGCTCATTTGCATTAAACTAATTTTTAGGCCATCTACCAAGAGAAGTCCATTACAGCATGAATGAAGAAACTACACATTAACAGTAAGAGATTTCTGAGAAAAAGTAAAGATAAGGAAAATCAAACAGTCCAACTGCTTCAGAAAAGCTTTACACTCTATTCAGTGTCATAAATCATAACTAAGTTTTGAAGATAATCCTTGCCAAGCATAAGCTTCACTATTACTGCTGAAAAAGGGTACCGCACTTGATCCACTAAATCACTTCCTGGTATTGAGTGTGGGATAAAAAAAAACCACTTTAGATTGTGTTATGGATTAAGAACTGGTGGTCAACTTAACACCAGATGGATTACATCAGCATGACATCGATTAAAGATGCTCCACCTGAGGAAAGTTGCAGGATAAATAAGTGGAGAAGAAGCTGTGCTGAAGCATTAGGGCGTTATTGCATTGAGGTATAGTGGGTTCTCCTAAGAGTTGCTGTTTGAACTGTTGGTTCTCCTGGAGAAGCTTTGGTCCTCACACCCAGCATTTCTTCCTGGCTCCTAAGGGGAAGACATGTGATGCTTGGACTCCAGGATTAAATCATCATGCTCCTTCCTAGCACGTACCCAACTGTGCTTGTTTGGAGGAGCTCAGGGCCTCCGTGTCGCTGAGGATGGCTTTTGTGCCTTTCAAGACAGACCTGGTCTTTTTTGTGAGTGTGACTTCTTGGCTCCAGTGCAGAACCCTCATCCCACCAGCACAGCTCCTTCATTCTACTGGCATGGACATCCTGGCTTCCACCGCTGACCCTTGGGTTTTCCTGGCATTGATCCATAAAAGAGACTGCGGTGAGTCTTTCTTGTGGGCGCTGGACCTCCAGTTGGACTCGTCAGAGGCATTGTCCTGAGTTCGGGGTTTATATCTGGACTCGTGTAGGACATTACTTTGGGATTTAGGCCCTTGACTAAATATTCTATGTCTTTGGTGTTGTGGATAGGTTTCCTGCATTTTCCTGTGTTAACTCACCATGACCATTATAAAAATATTATAAACTCCATGTCCTGATTTTAATTGTTCTCAGTGTATTACCCCTAACTACAACAGACTGTAAGTGGAAAAATTTTGGCAAGTATGTATATATTTTACTCTAGAATCATTATATTTTTGTATTAACCTGTTGCCTAATTGTTGACTTCACTTCATGTGCAAGATTGCTTTTAGCCAATCTATATATTTAAGATCTAAAATATAGAAAGTATAAAAAAACCCTAATGAAGCTGAAGTAGGAATGTTCATGTAGGAAATGGTACCTGAGTTGGGATCATAGAGCCTGGCACAAGTTCCAGGGAAAGGTTTTTTTTTTTTCTCTTTAATCAATGCTGCCAGGAACATAGGCCCTCAATTATGCAGCCACTACCTTCTCACTGGTAGCTGCCTGACTGTCCTTTCTCTTCCTTCTTCCAAATTAAGTTTTTTTTTTATTTTCCATTTCAATCTTGCTGTCTTTAAGCCCTTATTTTTATGATTTTTACCTTCCCTTATTTACTATAGTGCAGTAGTAGGGTGTGCACACCCTTCTGTGGCTAGGTAAGATAGAAAACCAATTCTCTTCTTTTCCATGGATTCCACTTATTGAACAGCAAAAAATTATTTTCTTTTCTTGTTTACTTTTTAGTAAAAGAAGAAAATTATCTCTCCTAACTTTCTGGTTTTGTCCACAGCTACATACCTTGTCATTGTGAATCCCTGAGCTCAGTTTGTACCAAATTAACAGTTTCAATAATTTTCTCCATAATGATTACTGTTTGGCTATTGCTAATAGCCTTGCTATCCACCTAATAACAATGCCTCTTGAATAATAGACTTTTCATAAGTGTGCTGATGGAGTTTTTAATTACCAATCATGTATCTTAACTAGATTTATTGCAATGCGTTTGTTAGGTCTGGGAGAAGGGAGAGGCGCGGAGAGAAGTCTGCAGGAGGAATGGAGCGGAGTGGAAGACCGTAAAAGTAGTGGTCAGCGGTGGCTTTATTCCGGGAATGCGGGGAAGGGGCCCCCGTCGCCGGCCCCGGGCATCTCTGTACCCGGGGCCGGTGGTGTCTCCGGGAACACGGGGAGTGGAGACTGGCGCACTGGAGTCTGGCGAGCTCTCTCTCTCTGGCGAACTCTCTCTGGCAAACTCCCTGGCAAACTCTCTCTGGAACGTGGCATGGGAGATCTAAATAGCCTAAGCTTAGGGCAGCACCCTAATGCCATTAGAGATGCACAGATATCTCATTGGCGCACACGTCCTTAAGGATGGGGATATAGAATTACAATCAAGTACATAGGGGGCAGGGTGGGGGAGGAGTTTAGCTGCAGCCTTTTCTGGTTACAGTGTTTCATCTAGGCCGGCAACTCTTTCAGCGTTTATCTGACATCTACTGTATAAAATTCTGTTTCTAAGCATCAAGCTTCTGATGTACTTAAGGCCCTAATTCACTCCTTAGAAAAACTGGAAACCTGACACTAGCAGGTTCCATATGAAATTCCTGCAGATGTCTGTGACAACCTTCACAGGGCACAGGTACTTTATTGGTCGTAATATTAAATAAACTGTTATTCATGAATTTTGGACTCCTGAGTGTTTTTGTACTTACAAGAAGAGATGGTAACTGAATTTTTATCATTCTGCATTCATGTTAATGAACTTTCTATCACTGTGATAAAGTTCCTGAAAAATCCAGATATTAGAATTGGAAATTTACTCAAGGTGTATTTTATCTCATACTTTCTGAAGATCAGCCCATGGGGCAAATGTGTGATAGAACACAGGAGCTAGGTCATGTTGGTAAACATGCAGAGTAAGAGATGACATAGCTGCATCAAAGTAGGCAGGGTCCAAGGGCACTATGTGCATGTGTGTGTGTCTCTCTGTGTGTGTGTGTGTGTGTGTGTGTGTGTGTCTATGTTTCTGTTTCTCTCTGTTTGTGTCTATGTCTGTGTCTCTGTCTATGTGTCTGTGAGCAGGGATTCACCAATCCCAATGGGAGTACCTGTTCTTTCTCTGCACAGCTATGACCTGTGTCACTATAAATCTCAGCCCCTCAGTACACTAAAGCTCAGTTTTCTGTCTCCACATGGCTGATATATCTTAGTGAACGCAGATCTCACTCCCTGTGTCTCTCACACAGTGAGGCTCATCAGCATCCTCATGGTCACTCAAGGAGACTGCTACATAACAGGCTTTTGGAATGGTCTCTGGAGTTGAATGCATTATACTGAATTAAATCCTGTAGTAAGCATAACATCCAGCATCAGTGTGAACAAATAATTTCAACCCTACAAATTGCTAAGGAGTAACAAATAGGAGACAACATACGGTGATAACTGACAATGTTATATAAAAATATAAAACAAAATTATTAACTAGAGACACTCTATACTGCTTCCTTCCATCCAAGTTGAGCACTCCAAGATGAGATAATTGACATGTCCTACATCCAGCTGAGTTAACAGTGTCCAGCTCCATCACGATATATCCTTTCACTGTCACCTAAGCACTCATATTCCCCAGACAATCATCCAGGATTGGCATTTTAGGATTTAGTAAAGGCCCTTAGTCCACTGGCAGTGTCTCCCTGTGAAGGAAGTGGCACCTGCAGGGGGCTTACACCTGTCTTTGCTGACATTTTCCCTGTGTTCATTGTCCCTGGACAGGAGTCTCTGATCTGGAACACAAGGCTGACAGAATCAAAAGGTACTTTTTCAGGTCCCTGATGCTTCTTTGGCTCTGAGCCCTCCTGTTTCACATCCAGTATTCTCAAGGCCTTCCTTCATGGTACTGCAGTCCCTTCAATGTGGGAATTCAAAATTGGTGTGTAAAGTTGTAAAGGCCTTTAAATTCCAACCCAGATTTCCTACAGTCTGCACTGGGGGCCTGAAGATGTATCATCCATCTATGCAGAAAATAACTCCTCTGGCCCAGATAACTGCTGGTGTTGGCAAGGAAAACAAGGATATCCGTGGATGAAGGAGTGCCTTATTCCTGCAGATTGTCATTACTGGGCTCCCTATAGTAGAAAGATAACTAAAAGATTGCAGTCTTTACAAACTTTTAATTTTAAATCATGCAAGGATCCAAGTCCTGTAGGAACGTGTCCCTTATTTGGAAAGTTTCCCTTTACTGAAGTGCAGGGAGGTCACCTGTTAAATTCCCTTCTGCTCTCCATGCCACAGGAAGGGACCTGTATTGATCTTATGCATGTATTAGCACTTCTGATACACGTTGAAAAAGGCGACTGAGTATCAACACATTTGTCCATTGACCCTGGTGGTGTGGTTTCAGGGTCAACAATTGGAAGCAACACTTGCCTCATCAGAAAGTTCATCTCCATTTATGAGACATATTCTACAGGACACATTCTAGCCAGGAAGGACACAATGCTGGTGTGGTGGTTTCCAGATACTAAGCTTTTCCATTCATGACCTGAGAAACCAGGATAGACATGAACACAAACATCCTTGAGTCTGTGTTGTGTGACTACCTGGTTGAAGGAAAATGTCTGTCTGGTGTGTCCTTCTGGGTCTGTATCTTCAGCTGCATCTCATGGCACTCCTGGATGTCCCAGCTGCCCATGTGAGATAATCATTGCTGTGATGATCAAGGGGAGAGTGAAA